TATGGGATGGATGTTAAACACCTGAAAGGTGTGGGGAAGAGGTTTAAGGATTTGGATGTGCCAAGTGAAAATTCGAGGTAGTTTACTTAGATGATGGTTGTACCATTGTATGAATTTGCTTTTTTGTTGCAGTGTAACAAGGTACCATTACACTGAGAAGTCAGCCTGCTGAAACGGTTGAAGCAGGTTTGATGTGAGCTTTAAGAGCTGTCGTGTTTTGGTGTTCAGTCCTTTCTTCCTTCCTTTTATTTTCAAGTTAATCTTGAAGACCTTCTGCAATCCAAGGTGTTGAGAACATTGCTCACCTAGCCAGTGAGGCCACCAGCTCTGACAGCCTGAAACCCAGTAAGAGGGAAAACAGATGAGATGAAAACTGTCTCAGCTTCACGTTGAGACTTGCTGTGGTGTGATATTTCCTGGTGCTTGCTGTTGGGAATCTCAATTTGGAGATAGTGAAGATTGCTGGAGAAGGGTGTTTCCTCTCCGCCAGCTTTTGTCACGCTGGGGCTAAAACCATATTTCCCAGAGTTGTTCCAACAAACTCATTTATATGCTGTTTGGCTGACAAGTTAATTCTTGCTGTCCAGACATTAAGAATTGGCATACATGCTGAACTGGGTATAGGCTTCTGAACAGTGTGTGTACAAGAGTGGCAAAACTGGCCTGGGGCTCCTGGATGCTGCTGTGATACAAGCACCTATTATTTGTATGCTTGGAGAAGTAACAAGACTTTTGCTGTTCGAGATCAAAGCTGTCGAAAGCACAGGGTGAATTTAACCTCACAGTAATTTAGCTTCAGATATTCTCTAATGTAATACAGCTGAAACTCCAGCAGGGTTAGTTTTGAAAGTTTGGAGTCTGTACTGTGTTTCACTGAAGGAGGAAATGGAGAGTAACATCTAGGGGGCTTAATGCTCTGTAACATGCTGGTAAGGAAACCAAGCAATTCTTTGGTTAGCCAATTAATGTCAGTGCTTATGTTTTGAAGCACTGAGTATTTTAATGAGTTTACTTAGCAGTTGTTTTTACTTGTGTTTAAAGGAAACCTCATGAAAATTCTAACTGGAGCTCTGGAAAAGCTGCAGTAGAGCCAAGTGAGAAAACTCAGGGCTTGCTCTTGTGGTCCAGGAGATCCCAAAGCAGCTTCCAGCTCTGAAGAGTGTCCCTTAAGCAGCTCTCCTGAGGCTAAGCACTTCACATTTCAGTGGGAATTGCCAGAGATGAGTTTCCTTCTACCTCTAGAATCTGGCTTTGGGAGAGCTGGGAATGAGCCTCATTACTTGTAATCTCAAAACCCCAACCCTGTGACCAAGCCTGGAAAAAAAGGGGTGGGAAAGCAGAGGTTTACCATTTAGATGACAGGGACACAAATGTCACCTATTCATATATGCTGAGTTGGAATGTTCATCGGAGAAAGTCGGGCAGATGGAGGTGGAGGCTGCTATCAGAATTATACTTTCATTTTGTTTACAGAAAAGAAAAAGAATTTCAGTGTTCTTGGCTTCCATCCATTTCTTATAGCTATCAAAGAGTATGGTTAATTTTCCATGCAGTTTTACTCTGCTTTCCCTTTATTCTCCTTTCTCTCTGAGCAGATGTTTATCTCTTTTTCCCTTTTTTGCTTTTTGTTGCTTTGCTGCTTTCTCTTCAAATGTGTAAATCTGCTTCTCACCTTGTGAATATTTTGGAGGAAGGAATCTATATATATCTGCTGTGCTTTGTTTGGCAAGTAATTGTCACCCTTTGCAGTACTGTTCTTCTTTTTAAATTTGTTTGTTTCATGGAGCAGTTGGATGCATAAGAGCAAACAGTTTGTAAAAACTTGAACGGTAAGGGATGAGTAACAACAGTTGATAAGAATTTTTCAAGAGCAAATAATGGCAAACCAATCCACTCGTTTTCTGCATTTGTGGATGCAGAAGTAATAGCAGATGTGTGTGTCTTAACTTAGACATTTTGAAGCTCATTTTCCCATGAGCAGCCTAGGAAAGGAGTGGACTGCTAGAAATCCCCTTAAAGGGGACCGCATTTGTTTGGTTACTTTGCCATATTTTATCATATTTGAAAAGTCATGGCTGTCAGATGAGGTCCCAGATGACTGGAGGAAGGGTCATGTCGCTCCCATTTATGAGAAAGGGAACAAGGAGGACATGAGGAACTACAGGCTGGTGAGTCTCACCTCTGTGCCTGGGAAGATCATGGAACTGATCATCCTGGACAACATGCTTGATCACATTAGAAATGAGCGTATGATCCGACACAGCCAGCACGGCTTCACCGGGGGAAGGTCATGCTTGACTAATCTGGTGGCCTTCTATGATGGAGTGACGGCATCGATGGACAAGGGAAAGGGCGACCAATGTCATTTACCTGGACTAGAGCAAGGCCTTTGACATGGTCCCCTACCACGTCCTTATCTCCAAATTGGAGGGATGTGGATTTGATGGCTGGACCACTCGATGGATAAGAAATTGGTTGAAAGGCTGCAGAGGGTGGTCATCAGTGGCTCTATGTCCAGGTGGAGGCTGGTAACGAGCAGCATCCCCCAGGGGTCTGTCTTGGGACTGGGGCTCTTTAACATCTTTATCAATGACATTGACAATGGAATCGAGTGCACCCTCAGCATGTTTGCTGGTGACACCAAGCTGAGTGGTGCGATTGACACGATGGAAAGAAGGGATGCCATTCAGAGGGACCTCAACAGGCTGAAAGATGGGCTGGGTGAACCTAATGAGGTTCAACACAGCAAAGTGCAGGGTTTTGCACTTCGGCCATAGGAATCCCAGGCGTCCATACAGACTGAAATGGAAGAAGCCATTCTGGAGAGCAGCCCTGCAGAGAAGGACATGGGGGTCTTGATGGATGAAAAGCTTAACGTGAGCCAGCAGTGCGCTCTTGCATCTCGGAAAGCAAATGGTATCCTGGGCTCCATCAGAAGAGGGGTGGCCAGCAGGGAGAAGGAGGTGATTGTCCCTCTCTACTCTGCTCTTGTGAGGCCCCATCTGGATTATTGCGTCCAGGTCTGGAGCCCCCAGTACAAGAAAGACAGAGAGCCTTTCAGTACCTAAAGAGAGCCTACAAACAGGAGGGGAATCAACTCTTTGAAAGGGTAGATAACAGCAGGATATGGGGAAATGGTTTTAAGTTGAGGGAGGGAAGATTTAGGTTGGATTTCTTTACAGAGAGAGTGGTGAGGTGCTGGAACAGGCTGCCCAGAGAGGTTGTGGATGCCCCGTCCCTGGAGGTGTTCAAGGCCAGGTTGGATGGGGCCCTGGTCTAGTATTAAATGGGAAGGTTGGGGGCCCTGCATGTGGTGGGGGGATTGGAGATTCATGATCCTTGAGGTCACTTCCAACCCTGGCCATTCTGTGATTCTGTGATTTGAGTGTACCATGGGGTTCAAGATAAAATGATATGTTTACAGGGTTTCTGCAGATTCTTTCAGCAGCCTTGCAGGATTCTCCAATTTTGGACAATTTTTTAGATAAATTCTGTGTAGCATTGTGAAATGGGTCTTCTTTTGGTGGTCGCTCAGTATTGAAAGCGTGTGACATGTTGACAGAATACTGTTAGGAAGCCTTGGATGCATTTCAGCTGGGGCAAATGTGGACCCTGGTTGTGATGAGAAGAGCCAGGTGCAAGATGAAAGGGGACAGTGATTGGCAGGCAGTGGTTCTGCTCAGAAGGGTTTGGCACCCAAACAGGCTGTGAGTCAGCCAGATTCTCACATTGCAAAAGCTGCAAACGCTGTGCTGGGCTGCACAAACAAGTGTGTTGCAAGTTGGGTACAAGGAGCTGCTAGCATGCTGGGCAGAGCTCAGGTAAGCTTAAGCTGGAGTGTCTGCTTTTGGGTATCATACCTGAGAGACATCAGCAGTGGTGGGACAGGTCCCCAAAAGGAAAGTAGCATATTCATAGTGGTAGTGTCCTTTGCAACAGTCCTTCGTGTGTTGCAACTGGAGTGGGAGGAGGGCAGATGGAAGGGGGTTGCACGCTGTTTTCCATGCCTATGGGGAGTCAAGCTAGTGACATGCCAAACTGCAGTAAAGGTGATCTGAGTTACGTATTAGAAAAATCTTTCTTGATGCGTGAGTAGTGAAGGACTGGAAGGGGCTTCCTGAGATAGCTGCGGTAGGGAGCTTACTTGGTAAGCAGGTGATGGGCATTTTGACTCTCGCTCACGTAGTGTTGATGAGTGATTGCTGTTGAACAGCAGATTCCTTCTGGCTTTTCTTGCAGCCTGATTTGATAATGCAACCCAAACCATCATAACTTAAGCACAGCAAATCCTGATGTGTACTTGCAGGATGACCTAAAACTTTGGTCCTTTTACAAGCAAAATCAGATTTTGAACTTGAGGAAGCACACTGGTAATAAATGACTCTCATTGTAGGCGATAATGGTTTTGTCTTTTTATGGGGAAGCAGCTGAGTTACTCAAGAGTGGCTGGTTGCTGACAGCTGAAATCCACAGCTGCTGCATCTGCACTGAAGCACATGCAGCTACTTTGGATCCTGAGTTCATGTTCCTGTCTGTGCTCTGCTGCACAGCATGAAAGCAAAATACTTTGTCATGCTGCTGTTGTTTTTTATTGCCAGATATATACCAGTATATCTGCAGGCTGCTCTACTGACAGCTTTCTTTCTTTCCCTTACAGGAGAGTATAAGGAAGTACGAGTGACACTGTTTAATGCCTCTTGTCTTAACATGATGCAGAAATAAGTACTTGTTCTGGTCATACAGCAGATTTTATTGCTGAGTTATTTACATCTGGAAGGGAATATTTCTTTTTATGATCAAGTTGAAACCTTGTCAGCACTAAATGGCGTCAGTAATAAAACATGCTGGGTGGCTTTTCTGCCTTTTGACAGTTAAGTTTTTCTTCCTCTGTTATATTAAAACATATACTAATGTAAGCCCTCACCCTTTTCTGTTTCATTCTTTTTGGTGATCTTGCTTATGAGCGTATTGTGATTATTCTTCTCTCTCTTGTTTCCCAGGAGACAAAGATGGCAGCAAGGTGACTACAGTAGTGGCAACTCCTGGACAAGGTCCAGACCGACCGCAAGAAGTTAGCTACACGGACACCAAGGTGATTGGAAATGGATCTTTTGGTGTTGTGTATCAAGCCAAACTCTGTGATTCGGGAGAGCTTGTGGCCATTAAGAAAGTCCTGCAGGATAAAAGATTTAAGGTAAGAGTATGCATAGCTTCAGAATATTCTTTGTGAATGTTGTCTTGTTTTCCTTTTTTTTTTTTATGGCAGTCTTTTTTATTCAGTTTTTTTTTTTTTTTTCATTTGTCTTCATTAGAGCATGTAAACAAAAAAAATCCAAGACTAAAGATTAAACAGATGCTTTTTGATAAAGGAGTATAGTTAAACTTGAAGTGAGTCACTGCTGTTACTTCTTGCAATAGTGCAAAACAGGAAGTTAAAAACCCTGATTTTCCTGATTTGATGTTGTAGTGCTTTTCCCTGATTGCAGACTTGATTCTTGAGACAGTGAACCAGGGTAACAAGGGAGAAGTTTGTGTTGTACTTACTTTTTTCTAGCACAGATTCTTCTCTGTAGTCATTAGCAATTAAGCTGCTGTAAGGATGGGTGCCTTTGGGCTTTGTTCTTGGGCGTTGCCACCTATAAAGTAGAAGGCTACGCTTGAATAAATCAGAAAGTCCCCAGGCCAAGCAAGAAGGTAACAAGTACTGAGCCTAGGGCAGTTTGGACTGAGGGAGGGTTACTTCCCTTCATTATCTGATTCATAAATGTGATCTATTCTGACTGTTCGAAGACTAGGGAATTTTTATTCTAAACAGTAATTAGCCTTCCAAGAAGTCTATCTCTGTGTGATACTTAAACTAAATTAAGGACCATTAGCAACCTCATCACTGCTGGTACCTGCCCCTGCTAAGTACTTGGTGTACTTGACTGCTTTCTCTTGTAGTTAAGGGAGCTGCAGATGAGCTCATTCAAGGGTGAATGGTGGCAAAGGTAACTGATTCTGCCATCTAAAATGTGGCTTTCAGCATCTGGAGATGAAACCTTCAACTTCCATGACTACAAAAGTGTATGGACAGTTTGTAGAGGAGACATTAAGGGTAATCTTGTTGGCACAAGCTAGATGCAAAAGTTTCTGAGCTTAAAGAGAGGAATTTGAAGCATATTAAAGGAAAACTGACGATTTGAAACTCTTTTGAAAAAAGTTTTAGAAATACTTCAAATGCCTGGTGGATGATGTTTTCACCATCTCCTTCGCAGTTCTCATTTTTTTCAGTAACACTTCATGCTTAGCTAGCTTCACTGATTGTGTTTATAATTTGTGTCCTGTTTTAGTAGGAAAACAATCCTTTTGAAGTAATTTGACATTGTTAGAGTATGCCTTTTCTTTGAGTCTTGAAATTGATGTTATCATCGACACAGTTATCACCATATAATAGAGATAACAGCTAAAGAGTGAAAAGGAAAGAAGTTTTGAAATTATACTAATAGTGCAGCATTGTTTCACTTCTAATTGAAGGAGGTATTTAAAGTTCTTACGTTCTTTTATTTGTCAGATTTTTTTACTGGCTTGTATTATGTGTTGAAGGCAGTTGGAACTGGAGAAGCAGTATGGTGCGGTAAGAAAGGGAGAGGTTGGAGAATAACAGAAGCTCTAAATCTAGTCATTCCTAGAAGAGTTATTTGATCCCTTCTGCTTATATAGTTTTAGGTGAAAGGCTAGCAAGTTTCTCTTGTGATGCTTGGTGGATATCATAAAATTGTAGAATCACTAAGGTTGGAAAAGACCTGTAAGATTATCTAGTCCAGCTGTCCACCCATCGTGAATATTGCTCTCCAAATTGTGTCCCTTAGTACCACATCTACATGTCTTGAACACCTCCAAGTTCTTTGCCTAGTGACACCTCCCTGACCAGCCTTTTCCAGTGCTTGACCATTCTCTTCTGAGAAGAATTTTTTCTAACATCTATCTTGAACCTCCCTTAGTGCACTTTGAGGCCATTCTCTCCCACCCTATCACTAGTTACCTGGGAAGAGAGGGCAACCCTCACCTTGCTACAGCCTACTTTCAGGTGGTTGTAGTGTGTGATAAAGTCTCCCCTGGGTCTCCTGCAGACTATACAATCCCAGCTCCCTCAGCTGCTCCACGTAAGACTTGTGCTTCAGACTTCTCACCAGCTTCATGCCCTTCTCTGGGCACGTTACAGGGCCTCAATGTCTCTATTGGCCTAAAACTTAACACAGGACAGTGTGACCTCACCAGAGCTGAGTCTGTGGGGACAATCGCCTCGCTTGTCCTTCTGGCTACATTATTTCTAATACATCATTACATACAGACAGGATGCCATTGGCTTTCTTGACCACCTGGGCACACTGTTGACTCATATTCAGCCAAGCGTTGATAAACATCCCCATATCCTTTTCCTCTGCACTGCTTTCCAGCCACTCTGTCCTAAGCGTGTAGTGCTGGCACAAGGTCGTTGTGACCAAAGTGCAGGACCCAGCACTTGGTCTTGTTTGCCCAGAGAGGCTGTGGATGCCCTGTCTTTGGGGTGTTCAAGGCCAGGTTGGATGGGACCCTAGGCAACCTGATCTAGTACTTGATCTGGCAGTTGGCAGCCCTGCCTGCGGCAGGGGGTTGGAACCTGATGATCCTTGAGGTCCCTTCTAATCCAAGCCATTCTACGATTCTGTGGACTTCGTGCCATTGGCCTCAACCCATCGATGCAGTCTGTCCCGATCCCTTTGTAGGACATTCCTTTTTTGAGGCAGATGAACACCTCTCCCCAGCTTGTTGTCATCTGCAAACTTACTGGGCGTTCACTCAGTTTCCTCATCCACATCATCAATAAAGATGTTAAGGACTGACTCTGTTATTGACCTCTGCAGAACACCACTGTTGACAGGTCTCCAGCTGGATTTAACTTCATTCGCTGCTGTATCAGCTCGTGCTTTGGACCAAATGTATTGCTTTTTTGAATCCCATGACTTTGAGATTATGTTGTCACAATGACAGTTTGCCCGAGTGTTTTAGTTTTTGTCCATCAGATACTGACAGTTTTGTGAGTTCTTTTTTTTTTTTGTTTGTTTAAATAATTCTGTATTGGGTATCTAATTAAAATGAATGCCTTCGATTATTTTTCTTCAAGTATTTGATCAGTGGCATCTTGTTATCTGACTGTACATCTTTCTTGGTGTGCTTCTTTAAGCCATTAAGAAAAAAGAAGGCTTGTTTTCAGTATTATTTCTCTTTTTATTTAAGGGAGAAAAAAAGCTAAAAATCTCATTGTGGTTTTTGCACCTTGAACTCTGAACTAATTGCCCCTCTGTAAGAGACGTGAGCAGAGAATGTCCAGTGCCTCTCAACCAGGTGGAATTAATATTAGGTATACGAGTAGATTCACAGGTTTATAGCATTAATTAAAAAAAAAAACAACAAACAACAAAAAAGGTGTTCTTATTAATCTGCGTAAGTCACATCTCCAATAATGCCTGTTAAACAGTTTATGTTCTTATTCCCCAAACTTGTAAGCCAGCCACAGATCACCTGTCTTTGTTTTCAGCTCGTTGTTTTATCCTGTAATTCATAATAGTAGCCCTCCCCTTCTTTTTACATTTTGATCTGGAGGTGTATGTTCTGAAGTCTGAAGGTGTACATTCCTGCAGGCTGGGAGAAAACTTCTGCTTGGACAGATTTGGAAGGTGGAAATAAGCTATCTTATATCAAGAATAGTTTACAATTACTTCAGAGTGTGGTATTCCTCGGGAGCATCTGATCTAGGTTGTAAATGCTGGACTGAATATTTTATTAGGGGACTTGGAGTACCCATTGCCTGTACAGTTTGGTTGCAGTTCAGAAGCAGACGTGCTCTTCTGTTCAGATAGCTTGCTTGTGAAGTGCACAGCAGCTGGGCTCTTGCTGCCCTAGCATGTCTGCTGGATGGCAATCTCAGCTATGGTGACTGGAATTCCCACTTCTCTATCATGAATACACACTCTTGCTTTTATACTAGTGAGAGGAAACCCCACCATCGATAGCAAAGCATGGTGGAAGTGCTTGCCTGTTTTAAATGAGCTTTCTCACCTTTTCGGGGAAGAGAGGAATGCTTCAGCTTATGTGATGGTATGGATAGTTTGCAATGCTGCTACCTTTTTCTACTCCTTGTTGCAGTTCAGTTGGTACTTCAGCTGTGGCACTGCAGTTCTAGTTTGGCTGTGTTTTAAACGGGGTCTCTGAAGTGCTCTGAGTTCTCAAATGGTGTGTGCTGGAATTCATTGTAACAGAGCAAAACAGTAGATACACAGAACAGACTGAAAGGAACAGCTTGAATAAATATGTATTTTTAATTTTAGTGTGCAGTTCACCTGCCTTCATTAAGCTAGATTTCCATGTTAGGCATGGGAACTTAAGTAATGTCGTTTTGCACAATAATATGATACTTAGGTGAGTGGTTCACAAATGATATGCTATTTGTCACTTATGTACAAGACCACAGAGGTCATCTGTAGTCAATGTGGAGAATCAGAACTTCTAAGTAATAGACATTTCTGTTTGAAGAATGGCATGAGACAGCTTTAACAAGGTTTTGGAGCTAAAACCTATTGGAATTAGCTGAATTTCCTGAGGGCTATGTCCTACCCTTCCAAGATCAATACTGTGCTTCTGCTTCTATTCTGCAGATGTGTAAGAAGAGGTACTCAAACACAACATTGGTAAAGATAGATGCAGTAAAATTATTTATAATCTCTTCAAGTATTTCGATCCATATTTCAGTGCAGGCCCTTAACTGCCAATACTCTCATTGTGATGCTTGGGAAAAAATTCTGGTAGCATAGATCTTCTTGCCCTGTTTTTGTTGATATGCTCTTCAGAGTATTTTTCAGAGTGGAGAGCAACATGGCTGACTCTTAATTCTGCAAAAAGCAGTAGTAAGGCGGCAGGTCTTAGCACACATAGGAAGTTCTTAGTCTGATTGATTCTGTGACTCATGTTTAAGAAATCCTGTTGGAATGGACGCATGAATTGCTGAAAATATCTCTTGACTGACTGAGAATAAATACCTGAACTCTGCATATCTAGTACTTAATGCTTTTGCTTTGGTCTACTGGGCTGTTGCCATCAAAATGATCAAGCTCTTAATCGTGCACCTTCTCAGTTGATCTAGAATTGGGCATCACATTTTCTGGACATTGGTCC